AAATAAGCTCTTTAATAAAGGGAATGTATATTTTTTTAAAAAAAGAGTGGATTTCGCATAATTTATATCTGAAATTTATGCAATTTCTAAAAAAAACCTTAAAAATTGAACAATTTGTTTTCATAATTTTTTTCCTCGTATGTAACAACTGTCGGGAATGGTGTCAATCCCATTTTCGGCGAACTTTCCATTCAAAAATAGGAAAAATTGAGTGTTGGAAAACGTTTGGGTTGAGACACTGCACTTGCGAAGCGTAATAGTATGGGTGACAGCAAGTGAACTCTGGGAATCTGATGTAGAGTCTCGAAGCGGCAGAAAATTTACTGGTTGAAAACACTGTTGCAGGATTATGTGATAGCAGAGCGGTTAGAAAAAAAATCGAGAAAGTATTTGCTGTTGTAGCATGACTAGTTTATTATTCATTTATAGCAATTGTTTTCGAGGTCTCTACCAGGTGGTATAGATGGATGACGATAGTGGATAGACTATTGGAAAGGGTGGGGCGGTGGAGTGACGGCCCGGAGTAACGGGAGCGCCCCGGGGAACCTGACGCGAGCGAACCCGCCTTGTGCTCCTCAACGTCCAATTGGACTCCCAACACCTGGACAGAACGTTCTCAAACGTACGTTTTTGGCCCGCAGCAGCTTTCGTCTTGTGGACCCCCTCCCCCACCGCTCCCCCTACAGTGGAAACGAGGACTTCAATTCTCGGAGACAGAATATTGTACTCGTAATTATTGACTGAATAGATTTACTTGGGCAGATTGTAATACTATTGTAAAGCATTTGCTTCTCAAAGGTAATTAATAATAATGCTGAACTATTTTATACATTAGCCCTTGCTTTGGGAGACATGTTTTCTATTTTAAATTATTTTCGCGGCACATCCACGTACTTTTCGGCATATTGCTGTTCTGCGGCACACGTTTTGGTAACTTCTGCATTGTGGCTTGCGACAAATGAAGGGAGAGCTTAAATCCGTCCAGTATCCGATTTGAAGGCTTTATGTTATCTGTATTGTCTGTCAAATTGAAAAAGGGGTCACGTTCGTATTGTCCGTCTGATCTTTTTAGTTCAATTTCTTTGTCAATTGTCAAACGTTTATCAGTGGAATATCAGTATCTCATCTGAGTAACGTCGCAATCATAATTCTAGACTGACATTCAGAGAATAAATAGAGATTTAATGAAAAAGAAAACGAACTTGACACTTTTGCGAAAGTAGCTGCGGGTCTACAAGAAGAAGAAGAATACTATGATGAATAAGAAGACGAGGAAGAAGAAGGCGAGGAAGGAGACGAAGAAGAAGAGCAACAATAAGAATAAGAATAAGAAACATTTGTTGACTGGAAGGTATCATGAAAGCAGGTTATTTCGTCTCTATTGCGGGATACTTTATCTCAAACATAGTAGTGGCGTATTATTGTACCGATATCGTAGGCTGGCTTGTTTCACAAGAATTGCGAGTCGTGTAGGATCCCGAGGCAATCAGACTGTACAATGGGAAAGGGGAAGGGCACGGGACTTCAGCACCTCTCTCCCAGAATCCAAAGTTACATAATCAGAAACATAGTTTTTACTGTCTGTCACCTCCACCCCCTCTTGCTATCGGCGGGGCCGGAGGGAGCCAATGATAATTGAAATGGAATGATGGTATAGAACGAAGGGATGCAATGAGGATGGAAGAGTGTGTTGGTAGTTTGCCTTACCTTGTACGTCCAAATGTTTCTTACCCGGCCCTGATGACCTAGCGTTCCGATGTATGTGATTCGTTAATTACGACACTAATTGTTTCCCGATATTAGCTGGAGGTTCCCATTAATTATTTGTCAGCGCAGGGAATTCGCCAAATCTTTCAGGCGGTGAAATGGTTCTTCGCCAATTATTTCAGTAAAAGGTGGATGAAAAAATTATCTATTTCCTCTATCAGGGAAGTTCTTTTATTATTTGAAACGTAAGTGTACACTTTTACCGTACTTCGTATTTTTAAATATTTCCCCCATTCTTGTACTCATCCTATTTTACAATCAATGAACTACATCAGAAAGATTCTGTATGTGAACAAAAAAGAATTTGGAAATGGATTTGTGTCATTTCGTGAAAGTTCCTTAGTATAATCAAATTGTGAAATCACTGGCGCTCTGGAGCGAAATTGTTTGGTAAACCGTTTGGTTTAAGATAATTTCCACTAACACACTTTTCACTTCAAATTATTGTGATGTTTGCCTTTTCACTAAAAATTCCTCGCACTAGCTAAGGACTAAGCCCGGAAGTACATCTGATTACAGTTAAAGGGCGTTCTTTCGGCTGATTTGAATTTTGCGCCGTGCGCGCGTGATCATTGCTGGGCAGGCCGGAGCGGGAGGAGGGGGGCAG